TTCCATTCTTCTAGAGTTGTATTTAGAGTGGCAAGAACAGAAAGAAAGACTAAGAGATTGAGACAATTGCAGCATGGAGACAGAGCCTAACAAAACAAGATGTTCATATTTTTTTCTTGGGAAAACTGGCCATTTCCCACATTACAGAAAGCACACCCAGGTTTGTCAATGTGAATATATTCAACTATAGTCCATCCTGGCTCCTCGAATAATGCACTTGTGGAATGTCCAGATTTGCCAACAGTTTTGATGCATGTTTATAAAGAGTACACCTAAAAATGTTAATGCATTATGAGCCTCTGAAAGAAAGTAAGAGAACCTGAACACTTGGCTAATAAATATAATTCTTAATGGATGTGTGCTGTTGCTCAATTCCCTTCCTTGGCTACTGCAGAAGCTGTCTCCCACAGAAACTCACTAAGGAATTATTATTTGCCACACCATCCTCTAAACCAATTACTTCTCACCAAGAAAAAACAAAGAAACTCACTTCCCAGTACCTTGCTCACACACACCCCAAATTCACATAAAGCCCAGAGTAGAGTAACAAAAACAACCCACTTTGAGATGGAGAGGGGGTGGGAGTGCTATAAGCAGAAACTGCCATTCCCAAGGAACTGTGTCACTCATACTAATTACAGCTCAAAGGACACTCTGGAAAATAGATTGAAACAATCTAGTTTGTATGTTGACATGAGGACTTGCTCTGGACACCCTTATCTGAGACAATCCAGGCTTCAAGCCCATTTGGCACAATCCCATTTCTTCCTGAGGAAAAAGACTAAGTTACACCTGCAGTCCAAGTACCAAGAAGAAAGTGTGATTAAAAATTAAAAAACCAAAACTAATTTTTAAAAAACCATCCAAGTCAACACAAACAAAATGGAACAGCAACTACCACCAGGAAGTCAACTCCTTTTCTCAGAAATGCAGACATACTAGAAGGAAATGCTGGAAGGTTTCATGTCTAGTGAAGCATGCATATTTTACAGGCAAGAAAAAGGCTCCTGTTGCTTGGTGGGAGAGGAAGATAACTGCTTTAACACCCAGTGCTATCAGGAAGAATGTGTATACCTGAACCATATTCCTAAGATATCAGTGAGAAGAAACTGAACTAGACAGCTCCATATTCCAGAATGAGTTTGACTTCTCTGCTTTGCTTCCCTTTGCCACTACCAACAAATCAAGACCCACCTCACATTTACTATTCCTTTCCTCGATGATGCATAGCCCAATCCTATGTATATTTACTTGGAAGCAAGTGTTATGTTCAGCAATACTTCCCCACATAAGATGTTGTACTGTAACTTCCATCATTTTTCACTATTGACAGATCTGGGGGGGCACCCATTTCCCACCTCTGAGAGATAGGATTATAATGCTGGAAAAGGAGCATAATACGGAAGGTACTACTTCTATTCTTACAATCCTTGAAGCAGGTAGAAGCTCCTACATCCATGTAGTACTGAAGAAATACTCATTCACTTGGACCCGGCCAGCTTTGTTGTATGCAGCACTTCCTTAGCCAGCTAAAGCTGATACACACTGAAGGCAGGTTCCCAGGCAAGGGGCTAGGTAAAAGTGCCCCAACTGGGACAGCTTCCCTGCATGAAGGTTTTCCCTAATTGGAGAAAAGTGGAGCACAGATAAATTGGATTGCCAACCAAAACACCAGTCAAAGAACCTGAAGGGTGACTGATGTAGTCACCCCCACAATACATATTGCATTATAATCCCACCATAATTCTGTACCTATTCAGAAGGAGTGAAAAACTGATGCTACTGACTACTGGAAACAGGGTTTCCCATTAATAAGAATCAAAAACATTGGACTAACTTACCATCATTAACAGTTTTATTATTTTTTGCAATGTCGATCTTTATTAATTACTAGCTTGTGTAATGTATTTATTTTTCTTAAATAATTATGGATCGCACTAGTTATTCCTTTAGGTACCTCCCACCTGTACCATTAGTAAATGATAAGCAGTCTACATCACCTTTTATGCAGCTTGCATTTTAGGAAGCTAAGAGAAATTTCAGTCACCAGAGTAAAATGGGAAGGAGAGGTAGGGACAATAGTGGGAGAATATGTTGAAGACAATACCGCACCTAACACAAATAGATTGTAAATATGTGAATAATTGATCTTATCCAGGTTAGAACTCATGAATTCAGGATAAAACTCAACTCATGAAATAACAATTGTACCCCAAGTAAAGAATAAGTAGCCCTTAACTAAATATAACAACATGTAAGAGGCATCCAGCATGAGATTTTAACTATGACATTCTAAATTAACATTCCTAGCAACCATGGATGGCAGAGTCCACAAGTATTAACTTTTGGTTTGTACAACATCCATTGTAGACTCTTCAAATGATACCAGAACCCAAGTCCCCCAAACCAGCTTATGCTCAATTCAGTGGTCATTCACTGTTATAATTGAAAGTGTTCTAATTGAAAGTGTTTGTACACCAAATATTTGGGGTTTTTAGGTAGTATTTCTCCTGTAGAGAGCAAACTTTGCCTGTTAAGTGCCAGAAATAGCCTGCTCTATTCTAGCAATCTAGGCTTGTGTTAATCTCTGATCAAACTAGATTAGACACATCAGCTTTCATTAAGGGACATTTAGTAAGGCATGTTAATAAGAGCTGACTCTTACAGAAAATATTTAAGGGCATTTTAAAGGGAAAGAAGTATCTGAGCAACTATTTCTCTTCCATCTACCCCAGATCAAGAGTATCTTGGAAGCAACTGGGAGGAGAACATGAGAGAGTTATGTATTGAAGATATAGGTTATAAAAATCCTGATATGGGCCAGAGATGCTCCCAAACTATCTTTTAAGAAAGAAACTGAAAATGGTCTCTCTCTCCCTTTTCCAGACTTAGTAATAGCTTTTATTAACCAGAAACGATGCAGTGATTTTCCACATAGAACCATGTCCATAAACTCAAGTGTGAAATTTATATATATATCCATTATGTCAGGGAAGGACCTTCTGAGGTTCTGAGATATGGGGTATGCTTTCTCAGTTCCTTTTCTTCAACTTATTTCTCTCAGAAAAACAACAGCCATTTTATCCAACATGAGAGCTTCCTCTGCCTGCTCTTTAGTGACTGTGTTTCAGCCATGTCCCAAACCAGATTCACTATGCTTCAATTGCTGCTATTTGACTGCAGCTAAAGAATCCTCTTCCCTCAGCTGCTGAAGTCACTATTGTAGTCTTCTTCAGCCTAGTGGGGTACAAATTCTGTCCAGTTTTGTATAAGGCTTTTAACAGCTGTAGCTTATTCTAGGCAGAAAAGAGAGCTAAATCCATCAGTGGATTAATGGTCAATTTCAGTGGACTATCTACTACTTAATATTATTAGATTCATATCCCACCCTTTTCTTTTTTAAAGAACTCAGAGTGACTTACATAATTCTCCTCCTGCTCTCCATCTTATCCCCACACCAACAACAACCCTGTATGTTGGGCTGAGAGTCTGAGACTACTCCAAAGGCACCTTGTTGGCTCCATGGTTGAGCAGAGACTAGAACCCAGATCACCTGAGTCCCAGTTCCACACTCTTAACCACTACACCACACTGGAATTCTTTAAACGAATATGAGACTATATACATTTTAGTCATGTCTTAACTATTAAGAGATGGCTAAAGTATGTACTTCCTTGGTGCATCATAGAAAGTCTAGTTATTAATCAAAAGGAAAGGAGAAACAGTGCAAGACCAAGGTCAACTCACCCTTGTTTTTAATTAACTTGAAGCACAAGAGTACAACCCTTAGTAAAGAGCATTCCTTGGGTTCTGCATTCATTCATAGTACAGGCTAGATTTAGAACCATACTTCACCCACAAATTATTACTACTTTTTGCCATGCATTACCAATTCGAATTTTAAAGACAGCAAGCAAGGCTATTCATATATAATATTGTTCAACATCAACTCCCCCTTTTTATGTATGATGAAGCCAAATTACTCAAACAACCCAAGTGGTTGTTTGGGGCATCACTCTTCTTAGGGTCAATGGCAAGGCAGCATGTCATGCAAGATCCATGCCCCATTTTGGACAATACTGCACTAACAACTGGGGAACAAGCCTCTGCAATCACTATGCAGCCATTCATCACCTAAGAGCTGCACCCCAGCATGCAGAGTGGTCTGGTGCTGCAGCAGGACCAAAAGTCTTAGGTGGTGGTGGATTCCAAGCTACAGTTGTCAAACTCTTTCTCAGCTGCTCATGACCTCATGACAAACATGAGATTCCTGGTCTGCCTTATCTATGTTCACATTACCTATTGCAAGATGCTTTTACTTAAAATGCAACTCTTCTGGATACAGCTACCGCTTTTGGTATCAAAGATTAAGAATGTAAGAGTACCTCCTCTTCCTTTCAGGTGACCTGGCTTACCTGGGCCAAAGAAAGTGAATCACTGCTAAAAGGTACTTTTCTTGTACAAGCTAAGAGAAAGCCACCTTGTGACCTGGGGAAATTTACATTCATTACTCATGATGCGTAGGGGACTGAGTCTCTTTCAGGCGAGGAGAAACTTGTTCTTAGAAAAGGAGCAGGAAAGGGTGAAGAGCGAAAGAGAAAAGAGGGGTTGAAAAAAAGATGGGAAAGTATCCAAGGCTTGGAGCAGCAGTATTAACAACCGCTACAGATTTGAAAAATAGAGCGGAGGAGTAAAACGATAGGGGAAGGCAGATAATTCGGTGAGGGGACTACTAGGCTTTGGGAGGAAAAGAGATTAGGAAAGCAGACGGACGACCAAGCTGTAAGGCAGGGCCAGTCTCCAAATTACTGCAGAAGCCTGACCCTGGGTGGAGGAGGCAAAGTGGTCGAATGTAGAGGGAATGTGACCAGAGAGAAAAAGAACAAACAAGAGAGAGGAAGGCGGGAGGAGCAAAGAAATCTGGGGCACATCAGAAGATGAAAAGCACAATCCCACGACCGAAAGCAGCGCCGAGCCCAGTCGATCGCACACCCGCTTACCCAGAGCTCCGTGCCCCAGTCCATGCTGGCAGCGCCCTCGTCGCGCGCTCTCACTTCCTCCTCGCAGGCCCACCCGAAGCCCTATTCACCGCTGCCGCCGTCCTGCGGAGTCCCACTCCTCCGTCCGCACAACCTCCAGCGCCTGCCCGGGACACTCCCCGCTCCTCCCCCAACTCCGATCCTTAAAGGCACAGGCAGGGCTCAGGCAGTGGAAGAAAGGTGGGCAGTCCTCTCGTCTTGCATGGGGGCGCCTGTCTTGCAGATCTATCTTCCTCTCCGTCCCCTCTCAGCTTCCAAGCGTTTATTGATGCAAATATAGAGGCCGTCTCTGCTTCCTCCCGGGATCAACAGGCGGAGGGCGCCGACCTTCGGAAAGCAAATGCTGCCGCCGCCGCCGCCGCCATCCTTTCTGAGCGCAACTTTCTAATTCCCACTTATTTCCACAAGATAGTCCTTAAGGCTACAACCCTTGGGCGTGCGTCCCCTTGAACTCATCTGATTATGCGTGTGTTTAGGATCTGGCTAAAAGGAAGGTGGAAGCAGCAGCAAGATATTCCCATCCTTGTCTTATCCCCCGCGATTAGTTTATCCAACTATGAAAAGAGGTATTTTTATGCAGCTGCTCAGATTCGGCATTTGGCCGATTTCCGGAAAAAGAGAATTTCAGAGCTGAGCACAAACAACTCTGTTGTTAGGACCACAGCAAACACCAGACACCTTCCAGCGCCAAAAAGAAACGCAACCATGTGCGGCTACGAGCAACGTTGTGTTAGGAATTACAACGTGGTTGCCCCCATCTAGTTGGCGACTGCGCAGCCCCGCAAGGTATTTTGTCCGCAGCAACAGCCCCACTTCTGCCTTATGCGGAAAAAAAGAAGACCGTCCTCTTGTCCCAAGCAGGTATCTACACACGTCTGATCAACTCTAAGGTGCCTTAGTAGTGTTAGCAGTCCATACATGCAAGTATGTGGATAATACGGACAATCTGGATTTTCTTTTTCTTACAGGGAAGCAGTGATACCTTGAGCAATTTGGCACATTGCTGTGCCAAATACTTCTACAACTCCACTACCTACCTGCCCTTTTTCATTGATACCCTTGGGATCAAGCCCAGGGTGGGACAGTAGATTGGAGGCAAACAAAGAAAAGGCTGTCTCCAGCCAAGGCTTTAATGACACCATTGCCCTGCCTCACTCACTGAATTTTATAGGGCACAGGAGGGTGCCCAAATGTCTTCTGCTGGATTATTCCATCTTTTTTCTTACTACAGAAAATCGACCTCTGCAGGAAGAATGGGGCTACAGCTCAATCCCAGAGCACTTACAGTGGTACCTCTGCTCACGAACGCCTCAGTTCATGACCAAATCAGGTTGCGAACAAAAATTTCATTAAAAATGTGCTGCAGGGGATGAACTCTGCATTGGGTGGCGACCTTGATCTCGGCTACCCCCCCCCCCCCGCCCAGTGTGCCAGGATGACAGACACATGCAGGGATGAAGGGCTGGGGGGGGGGGGGGGGGGGGGGGGGGGGCGGCGGCCGGGGGGGGGTGGGGGGGGGGAGATGGCAGCTATCTTTGTTGTTCTTTGTCACTTTGCTTCACATTTTTCTGATTAAAAAAAAACAGTTACAGAACGGATTAACCTTATGGGGAAATTTAAATAACATTGAACCTTATGGGGAAATTTAATTTGGCTCACGACCAATTTGGCTCATGAGCAGAGTCCTGGAATGTATTAAGTTCGTGAGCCAAAGTACTACTGTACTTTGTGTGCAAAAGTTCCCACTTTGATTCTTGGCATCTCCAAGTAGGGCAGAAAAAACACCTGTCTGACACTCTGGGAAACCATTGCCAAACAGCATTGACAATACTGGAATAATGGACAAATGTACTCAGTGTAGGACTCAGTGCAGGGCTCTACAATGTTCCTGTGGTTACGGAGAAAAAGACCAAATTGTTGCATGAAAGCAACAGACATGACAGTTAGTCCCAGTAGAGACACTGGCAAAATACCTGTCACAAAGCAGCTCCGGGCGGTGGGGCCGCTCGTGGCAGTTAATTCTGCCTCGGCTGTGCTGTTGCTTGGGATCTCCACCGACAGCCATGGAGCTCTTGATAGGCCACTGCAAGGGGCCAGCTTGCAATCCAGCAGCTTTTTTAAAATGTGGGGACGTACAGCAGGTCGAGCACTAGAAGCTGGGACTTCAAGAAGGCCAACTGAAGGCAAGTCTGGGGAAAGTCTCCTGGGATAGGTTACTGGAAGGCAAGTGAGTTGAGGAGGGGTGGATGGCACTCAAAAGGGAGGTTCTGGAGGCGCAAGCCTTGACGATACCTCTAGTTAGTGAGGTGGGGAGGCGGAGGAGAGTGCCGCCATGGATGCGAAAGGAGGTGGTTAGAGGGATTAGATGCAAGAGGAACCTCCATAGGAAACGGGTACTGTGGCAAATAGAGAAAAGGGTATACCAGGGGGGAGGAGGCCCATTGCAAATGGATTCTTCCCAAGGCTAAGGCTGATTACAAGCTGAGACTTGCCAAGAATATCAAGAGCAACAAAAGGGGCTTCTTTCAGCATATAAATAGGAAGAGGAAGGGGAGACAAATAGTGGGACCACTAAATAAGGAGGGAGGAGATCCAGTGACTGACCAGACAGGGGAAAGTCTCCTGGGATAGGTTACTGGAAGGTAAGCGAGTTGAGCAGGGGTGGATGGCACTCAAAAGGGAAGTTTTGGAGGTGCAAGCCTTGACGATACCTCTAGTTAGTAAGGCGGGGAGGCGAAGGAGAGCGCCGCCATGGATGCAAAAGGAGGTGGTTGGAGAGACTAGACACAAGATGAACCTCCGTAGGAAATAGGGGCAAATAGACAAAGGGGTGTACTGGGAGGAGGAGGCCCATTGCAGGAGGATTCTTCGCAAGCCTAAGGCTGATTACGAGCTGAGACTTGCCAAGAATATCAAGAGCAACAAAAAGGGCTTCTATCAGCATGTAAATCGCAAGAGGAAGGGGAGTCAGGTAGTGGGACCACTAAATAACAAGAAAGAAGATCTAGTGACTGATGTGAGGGAACAGGCACAGATGCTAAATGACCATTTTGCCTCTGTGTTCTCCCCAAAGCAGGGCAGGGGAGATCCGCATGGGAGACTGGATGAGGCTGGGGACTTAGGAGCAGAGATTAGAACCACCCCCTAGAAGTTGAGGGGCTCCTCAGGGCACTGGACATTACAAAGGCACCGGGCCCTGATGGGTTACACCCGAGAGTACTTCAAGAGTTGGCAGGGGTTCTCTCACGCCTGTGGGCCTCCAATTTTGAGGCCTCATGGAGAACGGATGAAGTTCCAGAGGACTGGAGGGTAGCATCAGTGGTCCCAATTTTCAAGAAGGGTAGTAGAAGGGACATGGGGAATTACAGACCAGTTAGCCTTGCGTCCATTGTAGGAAAAACAATGGAAAGGCTTATATTGAGCAATCTAGTGATGCTAGATAGGGAAGAGAGCTGGTGGCCACACAACATGGTTTCCGCAAAAACAGGTACTGCCAGACAAACCTTGTGGAATTCTATGACAAGGTTTCGAGGTGGGTAGATGGAGGGGATGCACTGGATGTGGTTTACCTGGATTTCAGCAAGGCCTTTGATAAAGTGTCCCATGATATCCTGGGTGAGAAGTTTTGGGATAGACCAATTCACTGTCTGATAGATTAGGGCATGGTTGACTGACTGAAAGCAGAGGGTAACCATTAGTGGGGAATCATCGGGATGGCGGCCAGTGACAAGCAGGGTCCCCCAGGGCTCTGTCCTGGGGTCGATCCTGTTTAATCCTTTCATCAATGACATGGAAGAAGGGGTGAACAGTCTGCTGATCAAATTCACAGATGATACTAAAACTGGGGCAGTGGCCACAACTGAGGAGCAGGTACTCCAGATCCAAAAGGATCTGGACAGACTATGGAAGTGGGCAGGAGACAACAGGATGGTGTTCAATGTGGATAAGTGCAAGGTCTTGCACTTGGGGCATAGGAAAGAGTGTCATAAGTACAGGTTAGGGGACAAGTGGCTGGAGAGCAGCACTTGTGAAAGGGACCTCGGGGTTCTGGTTGACTGCAGGCTAAACATGAGTCAGCAGTGTGATGTGGTGGTCAAGAGGGCGAACGCCACCCTTGGTTGCATAGCCGGAAGCATGGCTTCTTGATCAAGAGAGATATTACTACCACTCTATACGACTCTGGTGCGCCTGCAACTGGAATATTGTGTTCAGTTTTGGGTCCCTCATTACAGGAAGGATATAGCCAGGTTGAAGTCAGTGCAGTGTAGGGCCACAAGGTTGGTGGCCGGTTTGCAGGGGATGGGGTATGAGGCGAGACTGGGGAACTGGGTCTCTTCAGCCTGGAAAAGAGGAGACTCTGAGGGGATCTGTTGGCGACATACAGGTATGTGAGGGGGTGTCACACGGAGGTGGGTAGAGACCTGTTCTTCCCTGCAGAGAAAGGCAGGACGCCTGCCAATGGAGCAAAGCTCAGGGAAGCAAGGTTCAATTTAGATGCCAGGGAGTACTTCCTGACAGTTAGGACCCCGAGGGTATGGAATGGGCTTCCATGGGATGTGGTTGAGGCCCCATCGGTGCGGGTGTTCAAGAATAGGCTAGACATGCACATGGTGGGCACGTTGTGAGTGAAGTCAGCTGGAGTCGGGGGTCCGACTAGATGCCCAGGAGACCCCTTCTGACTCACTCTGTTTCTATGATGTCTTTGAAGGGCCAGCAGCAGGATCGCTCTGTCTAGAAGTACCCCAGACAGCTACACTGGAACCTTGCTTTACAGTTGGATGTTAGACTTGCCTTCCAGGTGGTGAAACATCCTATTGAAACAGCTGCTTTTAGGATGGATGGCTATTTTAGCTATTGCCTTTAATATTATGGTATTCTGTTGGATTCATCTGGTTGGTTCTTATTTTTACATTTTGTTGTTTGCTACTTTATTTGCACCTGCGTTATTTTGTACCCTACTTTATTGCTTTAGTAAATGTACTCTGCTTTATTTTTAAGGCACCTGGAGAGTCTTTCTGTTGAATATCAAGGCAGAAAGTAGTATTTATAACTCATATTAATAAGTATGGTACTGGAGGAAATAGTTACTCCAGAATAACGAAACATTATGCAGATGTGTCCTTGCATATAATTTCCGGCAAACTTACAGATAGTGCATGGCTGTTCAGGAGTCAGTTCTATTGAGTTAAATGGGACTTTCACCCAGCTAACTGTGGAAAAGATTACAGTTGAAGTGTACTTCCTGGTGGACGACTCCTAGCACTAAGGATCAGAAAGTGTTGTGCAGTTGCTTTGTCTTTTTCTCCAGAGTGGGTTTTCAGTGTTAAAAAATAAGGCAGAAGAAGGAGTAAGAAAATATGAGTAGAAGGCATCACTGCCCATACCCTGTACACTTTTGCAGATTAAGCAGAGCAATTGTGCCATAAAACCCTTGTCTGGAAGCACCCCCATGTTTGTTCTTTATCTCTGGTCTATGAAAAGCACTGCACACTGCTGAGATCACCAAAACATCCTTCCCTGATATCCAAAGGAGAAAACTTTCTCACACTGAGAACCAAAGCAAAAATGACCCTGTCCCCCATGGTACTGAACATTATATCAGTTTTCCATGCTCCTGACCTCAGGAAATTTCACTTCCTCTTAAAATCGACTTTCAGAACCAACAAGTATCAATAGGAAATGGTACAAACAAACTGTAACATGGAAGGACTGTCTTCAGAAATACTACAGAATGGATGGGGGGGAGCTCATAGAAACCAATTAAGTCGTCATGGTGACCAAGGGGAAGATCCTGGGGAAGCCTGTGACTCAGAATGAAAACTATGCTATGTTTTTTTCTGCTTTCTTCCTAAGAGCATATGTAATCATTTACCCTTCACACTAATTAACTACCCTGTTATAATCACAGCCAACTCAATCAAGTGGGCCTTTTTCCAGTCTTTGAATACAGCCATATGAGTAACTCAAGGTCTCTTCTGTGCATTAGGGCACTGTTAGGCTGAAGTCAGCATTGCCTGGCTAACATGGGTAGCTGGCAAATAGTGGAAGGTATAGCACTTTCTTCTGTAAGCATGAATAAGATTGCACTCTTGATTATTGTAATTAGGTGGCGGCACTTACTCCTATTTAAAAATTGTAACATTGTTTTGTTGAAGTATCCAAAGGGGATGGCTGCTTTTACTCTCTAACATTGCTCCTCCAACCTCATGTTCTGAACTAAGGTGGTCAAAATATTTTCAGTCTTTTTTTCAGTCTTTGCAAAGACCAAGAACATATGCACAGTGACATATTAACTGGGATGTGCATTATTTCTGATCATGATAGCATCAATAATACCTCACATTTATAGTATTCAAAACATTTCACATGCATATATTCTGTGGCAGTCCTCACAACAACCCTGTAAGACAGGCCAGTAATATTATCCACACAGAATACTGGATATAATGAAAGTGTCTGTGGGTGACTCTGGTGGCTGAACACTCCTCCATGCGAAACAGCCTCACACACAGAAAACTATGAAAATATTCAAATTTCACTGCCCCTTTCTGTTTGTGTTGACCTTGTCCACAACCTATTTAAAGAAGTAAATGCTCTTAGAAGCATACTTTCATGACTGGTGCATGTATTATTTAAGCTGGAGAGCAACATTGATTTGCTAATTATCATCCTGAGAGCCAACTGGCTAGAGACTCGGTATAGAAATGTTGTAAAGAAATAATCAGTGGAAAAAAAATGTAGGGGTTAACTGGATCTCCATCAGTATGTTTTATCAACGTTTTGTATTTATATTACACTATTTAAGAAGTGCCTTTCTGTTATGTCTTACCACAGTTTTACCTGCATGTCATTGGTGAGTGATTTACTGAAGTTTAAGGAGCCCTTTCCTTTGTTTCCCAGCTGCTGGTGTTTTTCATGTTTTTCTTTATCCAGACAGGGCAGAAGTTCCAGACAGCATCAAGCAACCCTTACCTGCACCCTAGGCAAGAGGAAGATGAGCAGATAAATCAGATGTAAATGGTATCTGGAAGGACTTGCTGTGGCTAATTTTAGGGTCTTAGCTTTTGTGAGCTGTCAGTATATTTAGGATGCCTTTCATTCAATGTTACATAAATGAGTTCATTCATTTACTCCCACATTAATGCAGCATACCTGTCATCCTCCGTGTTTCCCACTGTAACTGCTAATATGGAAAAGAACTGATACTTTATGCCTATGCAAGCACTGAAAATGGACACGGAAACAAACCAGTGATCTCCAGTTGTTATTGACTACAACTTTCATAACCTTTTAGGAGTTATGGTTTCAAGCACGGAAACCTACTGTTGCCTGCTGTTGACTTCTGCTCTCATGACACATGCTGCTGAAATTTCCAGGATTAGTTTCACTGCATTCAGTAACCTGCATTCTTATCTTTCTTCTTCCACTTTCCTGCTGTTTTCCTTGCATTGTAAGTAGGCAGAGGCCTAACTGATTTTGCCTTGTAAGGCTCCATGGACACCACAGGTGCTGCCTAAATTGTGTGTAGTGGTTAAGAGACTGGGACTGGATTTTGAGGTCCGGGTTCCAGTCCCCACTCAGCCATCAAGCTCACTGGGTGGCAGACACAGACTACCAGCCTCACCTTTGAGAAATTATACACAAGAACTTACCGGTGCATGATGCAAAATCATGTTTTGATCCATTGCCTGCAACAGGTGGGAACCTCATTCAATCCAAAGGCTGGATTCAATTCCAGAGAAGTTCTTGGTGGGCAGGGTCAAAGGCAGAGAGTACAAGCCAAAGGGGCAGGGCAAAACAATCCCAACATTAGCTTTGAGGTCTTATTACCAGTAAATAAGCCCTATTAGAAGAGCCATTTCAGCCTCTTAGAATGGAGAAAAAACTGTACAAAAGATGAAAAACCACCAGTGATTGGTGGTTGAGAGAAAAGGTGTATGTCAGAAGGAAAAGGTATCATAGCCATCCTGAGAACCTCAGAGGGCTGCACTGGGACTTGAGAAACAGATTCAGTCTCTAGGGCTGAGATACTTCACTCTGAACTGTAATCATATGGCAGAAGGGTGAATCAGAAGCCACAAATACCTGAAACAAATACATTTATTTAAAACAATATATTGTGCTACATTTATATTTATCACAACCACACAGCTCACATTCCCCAAGTGGCTCAAGGAAGTATAACTCAGGATTTGATGTATGTTGCTATGTTCTCATAATGCTGTGGGGCAGGCAGCAGGGACCAGCTCAAGATCATTTGAGGCATTTCACAGCCAGGTGGTGTCTCCAGTCCAATTGCATCTTCACAGCATCCTGCTGACTCTGTCGGGTATGTCCCAAGTTCCTATGCATGAGGATCAGCCAAAGGATGGAGTTTACAGAAAAGGACAGAAATCTCTATTGAGGGTCATTGCAAGTAGTCTTCTAAAAATCTGGTGGTGCTTAAAATCCTTCCCAGCCTGGTAGAACTGCAACATTCGAGTTCATTTTGACACAAGTGGCTAAACACAATTCTGATTAAACAGGCAACATTAATGAAGACAGTTCGAGGCACTCCCCTTTCTGTTTATCTGATGGGGACAGAGGGCAGAATGTTGCTCCTAAGATTATACTTGCTATGACACAGGCACACATCATCCCTAAGTCATGATAGTTTCGCCCCACTCCCCTTCATATTTCCTTGTTTGCAAATTTAATCAACTGACTAAACAGAACTGTTTCCCTTGTGAGACATTTGGGATCATCAGCCTCTGACAAACTGTGTTGGCTTCTGACATCCTGGCTGGACAGAGTGCTGCCTGAAGTGTCTTGTGGTGACTTTATTGTGGCATCTCTTTGGGGCTAGGTAGGATACCAATGGCCGGGATGGAGGTCTTATCTGAGACAAAGGTTGACTGTGTGGAAGGCTTGGGCTGATTCTGTTGTAAGTTGCTGCTGCTACTAAAATCTGTTAATAGAGATTGCTTAACGTGGGTATAATTTTGATGTATTTCATACAGACAAATCTCCTGTTAGTTTGCTTTATTTCATTTAATCTTTTAATATTAGATTTATATCCCATCTTTTTCCTTTCAAGGAACTCAAGGCAGCCTATAATTCTTCTCCCCACAACAACCACCCTGTGAGGTAGGTTGGGGTGAGAGTCTGTGATTGGCCCAGAGTCACCCCATGCGCTGCATGGCTGAATGGTGATTCAAACCCAGAACTCCTGAGTCCCCAGTCCCACACTTCTATCTACTGTACCACACCGGCTCTCTCATGTGCTTTAAATGAACCATGAATTGAATTGCCACTGTTACACTTAATTGTGTTGTATTTTATTATATAGTATATGTATCCTGTTGTTACATCTACATTGTGAATTGCTTTGAGTACATGGTACTTATTGGGAAATGGCATTATAAATCAAATAGTAATTACTAATTGATAAAGAGCAAAAGGTCACCAAAGTAGCAGTTCCAGCTTTTAAATATATATTTCACAGATTACTGAATGGTGAAATATGCAAAACTAAGGCTGTAATCCTAAGCATGCCTACCTAAAAGTGCCAAGGAACTAAATTGGACATATATCTAAGTTAACATACATAGGATTGCAATGTTAGGCAGCTTCTTATCAAACTAGTAAATGCCAATAAACTGGAAGTTCAAATACTACCACCCTCTAGGGTCAATTTTTTCTTCCAGAGTAGTTCATATTACTCAATTGGTCCACTACTCAATGGGTTTACAATCTTTATTCCATGTACAATAAAAAGAGTTTGGGGACAGGTAAGTCAAAAAGAGGACACAATAAAGGAAAAATAGGAACAGCTCAACTTAGGGTAATTTTCCCTATGTCGTTTGTATCCTACTCTTGGCCCAAGAAGCTCAGACCAGTATATATGACCCTTCTCCTTTTTAAGCTCATAAAAAGCCTGTGAGCTAGGTGAGGTCAGCAATGCCTGGTCTAAGATGACTCAAACTACTTCAAAGCAAAGCAAAAGATTGAAGCTGTTCTCTTGTACAGGCATATCACTCTCCCATCCACTATCTTTCAAGCTACACTGCTGAACCAGTGGACTTGCACAATCTGAAAAGTGTACTTTGGAGTCCTTCCAGAAAATCCTCTTGAAGACATTTTTCAAGACACTGCCTGCCCTTAAAGACATTGGTACTCAAGTGGTTACTTGGTCTACATATGCAACTGGGCAAATACTGTCTAGTTGTTCCCATCACGGTTTGCCACTCCTTTGGATTCTCCACCCTCACTCTCCCAGTTCCCAACTACATTTATTTTTGTTACATTGTTTTCAGAGTGGTTTACAAATCCAAAATGAAGCAGATTTATTTTTTGTCCTGCCCAGCCCTTGCTCTTACTTTCCTCCCTATTCTTAACATCCCTCCTGCATTTTGTACTATGCCTCCTTTCATTTCTTTACCTCTCTTGGCGACATTGCTAGTACCACTACTCAATTTCTTTTTCAGGAAAAACAATTTTTAACAATGCCATTTGATTTATTTCTCTTTTTCTCTCTCTTTGTTTTTAGCCCTGCCTCATTCACAGAATTTCAAGGGGTCCAACCTGTGACCCACCACACCAGAAAAAAAAGCTAAAGAAGAAAAGACAGAATAGCTGCACCATGTCTTTTGCTGGGAGGACAAAGAGCTGCCATCTGGAACCACACTTCTTCATCCTTAAGGGTTGCTTCAAGAGGCACATGCTTTTGGTCACTTCTTTGTTTCCAGAGCCACTTAACTTTTTCCCTGCTTTAGGACAGAGCAAACTGATCTCAGAGCTGATTGGCTCATCATGCAGAATAAAGTAAGAGATCAAGGATGTACAAACTCAAGCTCAGGGCCAAATCCAGTTCCCTGGGGATCCAGCTAGGTTCCCCATAGTTCCTTCTTCAACTGGCCCAATCTTGCTTTCCACCACTATTAACTGATTTCCTAGGTTATGTGCGTATTTTCCCATTCTGAATGGCTGAAATGCCTCTCCTAAGACCTAAGCTTTAACCTCTTTGGTATTTTGCCCCCACACTATTAACCTTCAGCCCCTCCTACCACTGGAATCACCAGTGAAACTCCCCTCCCCCACAATCCTCAAGTTTTTCCAAAATGGATGTCCCAAAATTCTGGGCAATGCAGATAACAGATAAAGAGTTATAGTATGTTGAATTAAGGAGAGGTGCCATTTTTTTTGAGGCAAAGCATACATGTTGCATGCATCTGCATTTAAAAGGTTCAAGAAGTAGGTGATGGAAAAGGCTTCTGCCTGGAACCCTGAAAAAATGCTACTCATCATAAAGAGTCTCACTCTTGTGCTGGACAGATAAAGAGTCTGACCTGGTATAAGGTTGCTTCTTGTGTTTTAAGTTCATTCACTTGTCAGAAGAGTGTCAACATGTTGTAAACTAACACAATAGTGGAGGTAGCTTTGCAAAAACTTTCTGATGAATATGCTTGCTCATTACTTACAGACAGCCTCAACACCTTCTTAAATATAGCAGCATTCAAAAATACAACACCCCACAAGCAGTTTGAAGGGCCTGTAGAGTCCAAAAAACTTCCACCTCAGTCTACCACCTCATTCTGCATAATGCACAGGAGTGCTTTACATATGCAGTTAGAGCATGGAAGTCTGCAAATTGGCCCCTGATAGGGCCTGGTCCTTTCCTCGGACTCCTTTATTTTAAAAAAATGCAAGCTCATGAAAAGTATGAATAAAGTTTATCACCCAGAAAAACCTTGCTGCTTGCACCAGACATCTTGGATCATATCTGGTAAAGACACGTGTGAAAGGTTCATGGAAGCCAGATGCTGAGGCAAATCCCATGCAGAATACAGGGTTGCTCCAGACCAGCACAAGGTTGATTCTGCGTGTCCTCATCTGCTGGCAGACGTCAGGTCTTCAGCAGAACCAATGAGTTTATTTGCCCCAAGACATTCTGGTGCCTGAGGCAAATAAATAATAATCCAAAAGGCATTCCACTCCCACTGACAAACATGGGGCACAATCCACTGGAAAAGCAGTATGGAGCTGAATGGGAACAATGTGAAAGAATCACACCTTCCCAGTGGATCGCACACACTGGATCATATTTGCTAGATTCTAGAATCCCCTGCCTGAGGCAGAGGCAGCCTCAGATTTTCTCACTGGAGAGCACCCTCCGCCTCCATGCCATGCATCCCCCCCTGCAGTCAGGACCAGACTCTTTGCTAAACATTCCGTGAAGCCTGCAAGTCCTACCCAGGGAGCGGGCCCCTTTTCCTCAGGGGGACTTGTTATAATCCATGTCCCGCCTCTTCCTCCACTGGAGCATTTTGAGGAGGCTGAGGCTGGCTTTGAAGAGCCGATCATGCTGGAAGATCATCTGATGGAAGGCACTGAGAGGCAGGTTCCCGCTGGGGTCAGCATGTTTCAGGGTAGTGATGGGCGTGTAGAGGCTGTTGGTCTGGTACCGAAAGGGAGGCTTCTCTGCAGTGATCACCTTCATGGTATGCTGCCAAGAGGAGAACAATGCACAAATTAGACATGCCAATAATACCATGGGCTATTGTTTCGGCATTCAGCAGTTATATCCCATATATGTTTGCTAGTGAATATAGCTTTTCTAGTTTATCGTGATAAAATGTAAAAAAAAAATGAACACGCAAGCAGAGAAAAGGCACATGTTATATTTTTGCATTTTTATAAAGAAAGTATAATTGTCCAAATGCATACCTGTTATCCCCTAATTCTAGGGTAAAACAGGAGAAGGAAAGGATGGTGAGAGGATGTGAGCTGCTACATGTGGAACTGTTTAAAGATCATTGTAAAAAAACTATACACTGATTACTTTTGGAAAGATAATTTATTACATACTGAGAACTAGTGCAGCGTAGTGAACAAAACTAGGGAGACCCACATTGAAATTCCTGCTCAGCCAAGAAGCAGATTTCTGCGAATCCATCCTTTTTAACAGGCAGAAGAGCAGGCCAGACTGCTTTTTATCTAGTCAGTTGGCAGCCATAACACTCTTTCAGGTTAAAATGCCTGTGGAAACCCCCAAGAAGAAAATATTGAAATACTGGATCATAAGGCTAGCGCTAAGGTCCCTCTGACCAGCAGCATCTCCTCAGCCAATCGCCTTTCCTTCCTGCATTTCCTCTGTGAGGTCATACACGATCAACAGTGCTGGGAAGTCAGAGCTGCTCAAATGTCACTGTGGTGCTTTCACAATTCATGTGTAAATCTACCCACTCTTAAGTGACTGTCGCTGCAGCAAGAGGATGAAATGGTGCATCTTGTTTGCTTCTTCAGTAATCTCCTATTTTAGAGTTTGAGTTGAGTGTTTAGGGCTTATCGATATTTTGTTTTGTAGTTTTGCCTTTTTGTAGTTTAAGCTCTTTTATAGAGTGTGGCAATGCTCCTTCTTAAGAGACCAGATATATTTAATAGTGCATACAACTTCACAGGCTCCCCTTGCACACTCCCCTTGTCTCAAATTCTATTCCAAATATTCAAACTTCCTGGACCAAGCTCAAAGATTCAGTGGTCTGAATCCATGCCTTCCACCCCAGATTTCCACCACCTCAGGAGAATCTTGGCAAATTGCTTTCATCCAGCTGGTCTTGATGCTCAGTGTTTAGAATACTGCATTCATTGCTGCCTTCTTTTCCTGGCAGAATTTCACCAAAAAACATGGAGAAGATGCTGACGGCCTGTAGTTTGAAGATGTTTTGGCTAGCAACAAACTGGAAGTTGTAGAAATGGAGGTCACAATAGGAAGACTAGATTAACTAGCAATGTGTCCAATCTGGTCAATGAGAAAGAAAACCTGAAGTGGCAACTGAAAGCAGCCCAGGACAAACTTCAGACAACTTCAGCACAAGCAGGAGAATGCTGGTTTGCGCCAAGCTGACAAACTGAATAGAGTGTCAAATGGATTCAGCAGAAGCACAAAAGGAGTGGCGGGCTTGCTCCAAGATGAAGAAACAAGTGGAAAAAGCCAAAACACACACACACACAAACACTTACTAGTAATTCCTGTGCCTCTGTGTTTTTAATGTAATCCCTCTGAGTGCCTAGTCAATTTATTAATGGCTAGTAACAAAACACGGTTATGGTTAATTGAAACAGAATTTCAATTCTGTTAAACAAAATCTTATCCAGATTTTGCAGAGACATGCCACCAACAACTGTGCAAGCTTGTGCACATTTGTTGTATAAATATACAGATTGTACTATAATGCTGTAACTTTTTACAAAACAATTTTCAAATTCACTTGTATGCATATTATCATCAAATACCATTAACTGCAATTGCAAATATACACTTGCATTATTTATTGTCCCATTTATATTCCACCTTTTTTCTTCTTGCAAAGAAAACAAGGCAGCTTACACAGTTCTCCCATCTCCATTTTTTAACCCAATATAAGCCATACTTTCAAAGTTTGTGTCATACATGCTTATATATCAAAAGTTGCATATCTGGAATTCAGCAGCTTAATATGTTCCAAGAACCTAGATATTTGGGATAGTATTGAATGGATGGTCCTGATTTATATCTTGAATGCCATCGAGACAGTACCAGTCCAATTTTATGATCAAAGCTAATCTAAGAAAGCCATATAAATGAAACACCTGGGGGTGACATTTGTAGATAGATAAACATACATCTCTAGTGTGGGGTAGTGGTTAACAACACAGGACTGGGACTCAGGCGTTCTGGGGTCTAGTCCCCAGTCAGCCATGAAGCTAGCAGCCACAGACTCTTAGCCCAACCTACCTCACAGGGCTGTTGTTGTGGGGATAAGATGGAGAGCAGGAGAATGATGTAAGCTGCCCTGTGTGCTTTAAAAAAGAAAAAGGTGCGCGCGCGCACACACACACACACACACACAGAGATTGACTGAGCAGATAATTGTAGAAAGGTTGTTAGGGTTAATAACACTCCTGATGTACTAATGCAAGAACCATGTATGTGGTCAAACTGAGACCAGTTTTAAGCTGTAAAACATATAATGTCCTTAACATAAATAGAACAAGAGAGCCAGTGTGGCGTAGTGGTTAAGAGCATGGGACTGGGACTCAGGCGACCTGGGTTCTAGTTCCCACTCGGCCATGGAGCCAACTGGGTGACTTTGGGCCAGTCACAGACTCAGCCCAACCTACCTCACAGGGTTGTTGTTGTGGGGATAAGATGGAGGAGGAGATGTAAGCTGCCTTGAGCCCTTTGTAGGAAAAAGGCAGGATATACATTGAAAAATAAAATACATAAATAAATAAATAAACAATTACATAAACAGAATTATGCAAAGTTGTGAATAGCCTACAAGAACAACAAAATTTACAGAACTTGCATTCATAGCATATTCTACTCAAGGAGGTGATGTACAATTACCACTTCTCATTAAGACTGACAAAGTGATCACAAGAAGTACATAATTACTGTGATTTACTGTCATCGTTTTGACCATGGCAGATTACACTTGCTCCTTTTTTTGGTGCAAGCAGTGGCAGGGCCTTTGAAACTGCCTCATTCCATGTCCAAAGCAAGGCAGCTGGCTTTCTAGATTTAACTTTGGGTTTGGACAACTCTAGATCCAGACCTATTACAAGAACCATAGTTTGGAATGTGAACTCCATTGTGCATTGTTCAGCTTCCAAAGGTTTAAACAGAGAATGTCTACTGTATTTTTTAAAACATCACTATTGGCCACCACTTGATTTTGCCTATGGAGCTGGATGTGGAGAATATCTGCTTACAGATCTACCTCCTTTTTCATTTTATAAGAAAACATGAACTCAGGCTTGGCTTTCCACTCTCTATGCACTGAGGAAAGAAGCTGTGTCTTTGGTACAACTCCCATGTCCAATCTTTCTGGAAACCAAAAATGCATCTGTTACACTTCTAGACCCATAGTCATGAAACTCTATGGAAATATCTGGTTTGCTGGGTTTGAAATGTAGTATTTTTCTGCTTCCCATTTTTCTTTCTCCCTGGAAATGTGACTTCAGTACAAGGCTGGGGAATCTGGCCAATGGTAAGGAATGATGAGAGTTGTAAATTTAACAACCAAACAGTTCCCCAGCTGTTCTTAAGGAGCAACTTTAAGAAGTTCTCACCCATCTTGGGCACTTTTCCTTGTTAGTTTATCTAGCCATGACATTTTGTGTAGCACTTCTGTGAACTTCAGCAATCAGCTTTCCTGAAACAGATGACGTATTTTAGCCTATGTTCACTTTTAACTTCAGCTAAGATCAAGAATTCCATCATAAAAGGGTCATTTCCCTCAAAATTCCCACTAGTTCAATCTCACCGAGTAACTCTTCCATATTGATGAGAATCAAGTCGATAATAACCAATCCCCCCAATTCCAATCTCTATTTTCTGAAAGAAAAAGCTGTCAGCAAAGCATATTAGGATGTGTTGGAGATCCTTGCTTAGATCAGTTTATCTCCCAACAAGTACCAGGCTAGTTGAAGTCTCCCATTACTATTCATTCTTGGCTCACTAGAGCAGCTGTTTCAGGAAAACGTCATCTACATCCTCTTCTTGGTACAGTGATCTGTCATTGATTCTAACCACAGAGCTTTTTTAAATATTTGCTTTACCCAAAAGCAATCCTCAGGCCTCCTTGTGCACTCTCGAATTTCTCTGGAGATATGAACGTTTTGAACTGTGCTTTGTTTGTTCATGTATCCTTTTTGAACAAGTTGCCTATTTCAGTTACTGCAATCTTAGGTGTCATCCCACCAAGTTCTAGCTAAATCTTGCAAAGCTCATCTAGCAAATTTCCTGTGCTCTGAGTAGATAGATAAAAATCTGTCTGTCTACCTATCTATGCTCTGAGTATTAATGTATAAGCAACAAAAGTCTTTACTGTTCTGTTTCAGTGTCTCTTCTAATTGTGGTGCTTAGAGGAGCTTTTCCCACATGCACAGCTCCCCTAGTTTTGACTATAGTGCCAGATCCCTTCTTTAATATTTACATTTGTACCCACCTCTGGCCTTCTGTCTCCATTCATTACAGGATTTCATTTAAAGCCCTCTTGATTAGACTGACCATGCTTCTATCAAAACACATTCCCCCCAGTCCTTGTAAGTACAACCCATTTTCTGCCTGTACTCCTTGGTTAAAAAAGCCTCATCATGACTTTCTCATGTCAACACCATGAGGGCAGCCCCTGAAGTATTCTTCCCTTTCTTTGTACTCCTCTACCTTTTACAGTAAGAATCGATGAGAAGAATTTTACAACTGAGTAGGATATATTCACAGTCATTGCTCATGGCATCATTTGGGGGCATGAGCAAGAAGGGGTAAGTGTTGACAACCTGTCCGTCACATTCTGGATCCACAAGCAAGCGAGGAAGGCCAGTTAGCACAGAGCCACCTCCATACCTCTCAGTAGGGATCCCTTACCACCATCACATCCCTCCTTCTCTTCTTGCATGTGGTAGTGAAGCCCCCTCCATCCTTGTAGTGTTGAGAGTCTTCCAACCGCCTGAACACAGGCTGCCGTACCTGTCCTCCATCACAAACCTCAGAGCCTCTTGTGCTAGAGAGATACTGAAAGTGGTCTCTTAGGCCCAGTGGTTCTGCTCCTGACAGTCACCCCGTTTCAATCAATTTGCCCATCCCTACTCCTGGAATGTTCCTTCTCTTCCCTGCTTTTGAACTTGCTGTAGCACATCTGTATCTTCTTCAGGATGCCCCCATATTCTTTAAAGAGCACAAGTACAGAAAATTGCTCCTCCAGTCCACCTATCTTCCAAGAAATCAACCAGCTTGTACTTGCTGCAGGAGGAGTCTAGGGCATTTTCAGGCAACAAAATGTACACAGTACATGCTTTGCACATGACTAGCACAGTGCTTACACCATCCATCTTCTGAGCTCTTACTCTTTATTAGCGAAGTCACCTTTGCTTCTTTTTTCCTTCATTCACTGCTGGAGGATTTCCTGAGGTCCTGTGATATCCAAGCTTTGTCAGAGCAAGACACTTGTTGGTATCTCCAGCTGAGGCTCTTAAGAGGGCATGAGATAAGCTACTACTTCACCAGACCTTGGGCAGGGATGCTTAGCTTTTATGCAATTGTGTGTCTCTTATCCCCCATGTGTACACATGCACACACACTCTTTTTCCCTATGGGTGGGCTCTACGATTTGCATAAGCTTGATGTGTGGAACTGGCAAGCAAGGATCCAGAAGAAAGGGTTGGCAGCTATAGGACCTGCTAAGCACACAGGAGGATTAATCCTTGGTGAGTATGAGCGTTGGAACACACATTTGCTCAGTTAACACGTGCAGAATTAGCAATTTGGTCAAAGGTAGAAATATCACATGCAGTTTGAAACTTGGCTGTGTGTGTGTATTGCCAACTCAGAAATCGTTGAAAGCAAAATGAGTGCAATATCATGCAAGTAAGATCAGAAATATAGCTCCTAATTCCTCATTCAGGCTCTGGAATAAAATACTGTGATGAAGTAGGCTGGGTAGGATGGAGTGAGGGCAAACATGGAAAAGACTCATAGTTGTAATCCCCACTTTAAACTGAGGAGGAATGCACAGCAGCTTTGCCAAATGTATAGACATTTCATTTCCCACCCTAAGCTGGAGAAAGGGATCTGGACAGACTATGGAAGTGGGCAGGAGATGACAGGATGGCGTTCAATGTGGATAAGTGCAAGGTTTTGCACTTGGGGCATAGGAATGGGTGTCATAAGTACAGGTTAGGGGACAAGTGGCTGGAGAGCAGCACTTGTGAAAGGGACCTCGGGGTGCTGGTTGACTGCAGGCTAAACATGAGTCAGCAGTGTGATGCGGTGGTCAAGAGGGCGAACGCCACCCTTGGTTGCACAGCCAGAAGTGTGGCTTCTAGATCAAGAGAGGTATTACTACCACTCTATACGACTCAGCTGTGCCTGCAACTAGAGTATTGTGCTCAGTTTTGGGCCCCTCATTACAGAA